AAAAGGAATGTGTCTGTAACAAAAATCTTAGCCCAGCAGCATAATTATAATGGGTTTCTACTTATCTCAAGGTTTCAGCCAGGATAAAAGTACTGCTCAAAAATATTAATATCTTCACATACAAGTCAAAACATATAATCCAGAAAAGGCAAACTCAAAGCACTAAGCCAAAGTCAAAGATTTGAGGAATATGAATTATTTTAAAATTCATAAATTCAATGAGAGCAAAAAAACAAAGAGAAACTATAATATAAAGGAGATGTTGAAGTACCAAATGTGCTTGTGAGATTCTGGGAACTGCAGCAATTATTTGATTGTGCTTTTTCCTAGAAAAGTCTCACATTAAAAAATAAGAACCGGCCATAAGATGATAAAGTTATTTTCCTCAAACACCACATAAGCCCACTTTACAATCCATGCCTCGTACTTGGCTTAACATGCAGCAGGCAAAAACACACATGTTGAACAAGACAAATATATTAGAAGTGCATAGTTAGTCCCAGGCTTAACCAAGAAGTTAACCATCTTCCAAATGCAGGCTTCCTGGGAGCAAGTGCAAGGATGATGGGCCAGATGTCAAATGTATATCCACTTGGTTATACATCTGATGTGTGCCAATGCTAGGCCACAGGACCCCAGGGGTCACCAACAGCAACCCTGACTGTTGACAGAGCTGGAGAATGAATTCTGCCACCTAACCCAAGCTTCTGGCACAGGGCCTGGCTGGGCAGGCACATATTGAGTCCTCAGCAAATGATTACCAACTGCTGAATGTCTAAGGATCCTACCTTAATATGCCTGCTCAGCTGTGTAGGAAACTTTTCTTCTTCCACATCTTTGACAGCTGCTTTGCCTCGGAACAAATCTATGGTCATGCCAGGGGGAAGCAACCCCTGGTGCTGCTGCCACTTCAGTGCCTATGAGAAAAGAAATGTCCAGTAATCTACTAAGGTGCTTTTAAGATCTGATTCTCATTGCTGAGACAAAGCCAAGCCTGGAACGATGAGGTTCACAGGAAACTGTGAGCCATCCAATCATCTTTGGCCATGTAAACAACATAATCTGTGCTACTCTGTGTGTCCTAGGAACACAGGCTGATCTCAGGGTGGAAGGGGACTCTGAGAGACAATGGGTCCATCTTTCCACACCTATTATCTTATAGGTGTGACTCTTATAATAAAACAAAATTTGGAAAACAGAAATCTCTCATAGTTCCAACATCCAAATATAGCCACTGTTAGCATTTTATATTACCTACTAATATTTCCCCCATACATGTTTAATTAACTGTAATTATATTAGAGGGTGCCAAAAAAATATATAGTTTTTTACATACAACACACATGTTTAAATAGCTGTAATTATACTATATGTAAAATTTTATCTTCTCCTGTTTTCACCTAACATCAGATCACGCTATGCCATAACTATCATTTCAATGGCTGTAAAATATATCCTACCTAGTGGATGTTTAACAGTTTATTTAAATAATACATTAATGGACATTTACACCACTTCCAACTTTTCACTCATCTCAATAATGCTGCAACAAACATCTCTGGACATAAGGCTTTTTCTTTTGGGGGGATATTCCCACCTTAGAATAGATTCCTAGAATAGGAATTACTGAATCCAAAAAAAGAACACAAATGGTTAAGTAAGGCTGTTGATATATACTGCCAAACTGGTTTCCCAAAAAGTTGCAACTTCAATAGATTATGGAGAGTAAGAAAATCATGGACTTTT